ACCAGGACTACGACTCCCCCTAGCACCCCAGTTTCGATTACTGTCCATTCACTTGTCCTGAGGTATTCTTGATTGAACAGAGAAAGATTCTAGATGTTTTTTGTGCTGATTCCTGATATTTTTGTTCATGACGTTAATTGAGTTCAATGTTGGGGACTAGAAACTTTAGCTGAGTGTATTTGGCATGTCGCATTACGACTGAGCAAAACCTTGTCAGAAAAAAAAAAAAAAAAAAAAAAAAAATCTTTGAAGCCACAATGGCTCAAGTGAAACAGGTGTTGCAACTACAAGGATCGTCAACTAGCAACGAACAAAGGAAGTTGTTGTGCACCGCTTCTTATTCTTATCCTGGAAGTTACCTTCAGTCGGCCACATGTAGAATCTACTTCTCTTTCTCAGCTGTATTTCATAAGTCATCAGCTGCATTGCTCCAGACCATGTTGAAATACTGTAGCAGGTGCTGGTTTCGAAGCAAGAGAAGTCCACCTTACGGAGAATACTACATCGTGTGCATCGTGAATATGCTTGAGAATTGGTAAGACGACGAGTGCCTGCATGTTGTCATGAAATTTGGTGTCTGCAGGTAAGCACAGCTGAGATTTTGTGTCGAACTGCTATTGGGTTCAAGTTGGAGCAAGCATAGCCAATCACTCATCTCGAATTTTCCGAGTAAGATATCGAAGTCGACACTCACTTCCTTGCGAGTATTCCAAAAGCACGATGTGCTGGGGCGATTGTTTCCTCACTTTCGAAGCACCGAACTTTTTGATGAGCCATCACAATGTGCCATTGTTGACGCTTCCTGAATCTCTGAAGAAGAGAAGTTACCGTCAGAGTCAAAGACTTTACAACTAGATACGTAATGCTGCTTCAAGTCCATGGAATCTGGGGCAGCGTTTACTCAACAGTAGCTGCTTGTGGGTCGAAGCTGGTCCACAAACACACGAGATTATCTGACTCCACAGTTTGATCTAAGTCAAGAGTAATGGCAACTCTGTGGACTGATAACCTGTTGATCGATTGTGTGGGATTGAACAATCTACCAGGGAGGAAACACGTGTTCGAGTTACTTGCATGGTCCCGCTGCAGCCCAACCTGACATCCAACACCCTCATCTGTGTGAACTCAAAAAGTTTATATGCGAGAGAAACATCACTGTGTGTTTAACGTCTGTTTCGTAACGGCCATTGCGGGACAATCTCTTTCCCTAGTATGTGACACGACTAACTGCTCACACAATCTGTATGTACTATTGAAGAATGTGATGTGTAGTTCTGTAGCGTCTGACTGAAAATGCAACAAATGCCAGGATATTGCGTGGATCTCGCAATGGCTCCTCGGGTACAGATGCCGCCGGCACTCACCAAAAGACACTGAGTGGTGCAGTGCATGTTTCCAAGTCATTACTACAGAAGAAGGTACTTGGGCTTCCATCTCTTCAATTCTCGAACACGAGCTTCGTATCATCTACACCACACTCATGTAACCGCCTGCTTGCTAGGATTGAGCAACACATGAGAGACTTCGACTATTCACACACACACCTTCATAACACGAAGATCCGAAGTCATGAACCCATCAGATGCCATTCTTAATGAGCAATTCAACTACTGGAAGCTCCTCTGACAGTATTACCTCTCCTTCGAAGTCATCAATAAACTAACAACATTGAGTTCCTTGTGCAATACATTTAATGTACCCTCATATAAGGTGATCATTCTAAAACTAATGGCATTAGATTATGTTAAACCAGTGCTACCGTTCTATGGCTTTAGTGCATTCTGTTGTGTTGGACTTGTCGGTAGTTGTAGAGCGATACTCTACAAAAACCACGAAACCAAACACAGATGTGTGCTTCATACATAGTTTCAAAACAATTACCCCCTTAAATTAACTTCTTGATGCAGATCATGTACTTGTGCACATTGCATTAGCAACATGAGTGTACAATTTAATGCCTTCAATTATTTTTTATCTATTTTCTGGATTATAATATGATGCTGCATACCTTAATACCAATACTCAAAACACTCTACTGTTTAAAAAAAAATTGTTTTCACTGAATAATATTACAATAACAACTATTGTAAAGTGTATTTTTTAAAGAAAAACATGTCTCACCCTCCATGTATGTGTGTAGTCATATATATATATATATATATACATAGTGGCAGCTGATTAATATGTTTTATTTTTTGAATTATTGACAGTACATACTTTGGTGTATGTTACAAGCATGGAGTATCTGGGGTGAGCATCTAAAAAATATGAATAAAATTACAAAAAGGCTTGAATTACCAAGTGCTTGTAACTTGGAATGATTTCTAAATTTCCCACTTGGTTAATTTTTTTGTTAAGACCAAGTTTGCATTGCCAAGTTGGTTCCATGTTGAGCCAATCAAATCAAATCTAATTGCCCCTTAGGCATACAATGCTACACACCATCTTAGAATAGATCCAAATAGTACCTCTATTGAGAGTTCAATTTTGTGGGTTCTCTTCAATGTGGCATAAGCCTATGGAAAAATGTGTTGCGGAGTTTGTTCCAAGTGGGTGAGACAAGTCAATGCAAAATTCACATGCAAATGGGTGACCTGGAATAGTACCAAGCCATGGCTTCACTTCCATGTGAACACCAAAAATATTGTTGTTGATTAATTTTTTTTTCCTATTTAATTTTTTTAAATAAATAGTATTTGATCTATTAATAGTGAGCTGTTGTTATGTACAGAAAAATAAATTGGATTTTTAAAATGTTGATTTGTAAATTAGGTCATAAAGCTATGTTGTTCATTTGAACATACCAATAATTTAGAAATGACTAATAAAATTGGTTATTTGTTAATTGAAGGAGTATTCAATTAAATAAAATAGCTTGTTTAATAAACCGAATTGAAATTTTAAAAAAACTCTTGCTAAAAGATTTACATCGTAACTGAATAAAATAATGAATATGCTAATATCCCTGATTATATTCACTGTTTTTGAACCATTGTTTGATTTATTTTTAAATAATCTTCACAATTTGGATGAAAGGGAGTTTGTTTCCTGCTCTTCTAAAATGTGCAACATGCGTGAATAAATAATATGTTGTTACTTGAAATATTCAGATAATAAATAAATAAACAATCAAATCAATTCAGAGTTTTTCTTTTGCTGCAGTCCTCTTCTTGTATTGTCTTAAACATAATAAAATCATGTTAAATTTCACCATGCTTTACATCTAAAATAATGGTTTGATTTTTTTCATATCTTTTTGATGATATGTGTAAATATGTTATTGACAGATTTATTGTTCAAAAAACAATTCATTTATTAATATAGCTTGGATTGAATTATTATAAATAAAACCAAAATATAAATGTCCACTTCCAATAAAAAATCAAATCACTGAATACCAATAGAGTCATTAAACATGTATGTATAGTGGAACAATTATTTTTCTATCATTCAATAAATTGGTTAAATAACATATATGATGTTGTTTGAATTGAAATTTGCATTGAATTTTAGATCTGTGTGTATGAAAATATCCATAGTGTTTTGATCAAAATGTGTGAATAGTAACCATTGAAAGTAAATTCCATAATGAAAAATTCAAAAAAGAAAATAGAGAGATAACATGATACAGCATTGTATTAATAATATAGAAAATGGAATTTATTAAAATAAATAAATTAAATAAAATTCAAAATAAAATAAAAACCAAAAATAATGTTGAAAAATTTATGATGTATAATAGATTTGCAAAAAAGGCATTTTTTTTTGCATTTTTTTGTATTTTTTTTCCTATGCAAACAGAGAACTAAGAAAAAGAAAAGAAAAGAAAAGAAAAGAAAAGGCTTCACAAAAATATTTTTTTGAAACACATGTCAATTTATTAGTGATATTTCAAATCTAAATTCTAATCTTTGTATAAAAAAAATAAAAAATAAAAAATAAAAAAGATAGTTATGAATGCCCTGATAGAAACATTCTAATTTATTCTTGATTTTATAGCATTAGCATTATCTATTATAAATTAGTAAGTAAAGAAATACAAATCAATTTATGAACATCACACAATCCTTAAAATTCTTTAAGAAAATTTAGTTACTCTTGTATCCTCATGGACAGTCAAACATGAATAAATAACTAAATGTATATAAAAATAATCTATAGTCAATAGGGTACGGAAATAAGAACCATGAGAGCACGTCGACAGGCCTCAATCTCCTATACCCGTGATCCACGGGGGCCTATCACGGCGATAGGTCGCGAGGAAGCACGGGTATGGGCAGTAGCGCGGCGATGGGAGCGCACACCCTGGCGAGGAAGCTGGGCGGAAGCAGGGGATCGGCAGGGGTAGCGGGTTGCAGTGCGCACGGGGGTAGGGAACGGTTCCCTATGTTTGTTCCCTATCTTGGAGGGTGGGTCCCTAAGTACATGCCCCATTTGTGTGATAGGGTGACGTGGCACCATTCAATCACACATCTCCACGTGTCATCTTGTTTACATACTGCTTCGCTCTTTGTTAAGTACACTAGATTAAGAGCATTCTCTCTCACTAAACCAATTTAACCTTTTATAATAATCGTAATGTCGTATCTATAAAGGTAAATATATATCGACAGAATGTGAGATGTTGCAATACAACCAAACCATGGGGGATGAAAAATACCACATTCGTCAATTTGCTTCATCCCGCCTCGTTTTCATCCTCGAAGCGGGGTTGGTGCTGCAACCGAAATAGACAACAAACAAGACAAAGGATGAAGTGGTGTGAAAGGCGACAAAGTGCCACGTCCTCAGCCTGACATGGCAGGTAGGTCGGTTGGAAACCCACCGGCCCATTATTCGAATTTGGGTGCAGTGTGAATGAGTTCGTGTGGTGAGATTTTGATACCCTGGCTCCGTTTCATCAGGGAGGAAGGTACCCGCGTTAGAGGGGGTATCAATTGATGTGGTCTTCTTGGATGGTATGTTGTTTTTGGAGAGGTAAACTGTAAGTTTGCTTGCGGATTTGCGTGAGAGAGACCAACTGATGCGAGGGAGGAGGTTGAGGAGGGAGATGGCCTTTTGTCGTCGCTAGCATTTGGAGGTCTGACAAGCACGGCAGGGGCTGTCGACTGGCACGTGAATGCAGAGCCACACAGAAGGAGTTAAGTCTGACACTGCACCTGCAGCTGCATGTGCTGCCTCATAATCACCGTCTGCATAAGTTTCCTCCTTTGCCTTGCCCTTCAATCTTGCTTCGCTGCCATTGGATGTCCATTTCCTGCCAGCGCTCGTTGCATTATCCAATCGACAGGAGTTTTCGTCGACGACTAAACTAATTTAGCTGTCACGTAGGCTTAGACTTCGTTTGTTGTTGATCGTCATTGTTCGCACATATGATAGCAGAGGTGCAGTGCAACCAGTCATGGCCGCCTAAGCCAAGGAGCATCGTCGCCCTGGAGACCGGCAGACTGGAGGAGGCAGGGAGAGGCGAGAGAGAGAGAGAGAGAGCGAGAGAGCGCAGAGGGGAAGATAGGGCCGTGCTGTAAGGGAGAAAAAGCGTTAAAAAGAAAGTCTGGACACACAGCAGCCGTAGTGACCATGCTGTTCGCTGCATGGTAACTCTGTATGTTTGCAGGGCTGAATGGTATAGACCAGTATTGGTAGCGAATAAAACTGGTGTGACAAAGCTGATGTGTGGAAGATTTTCATGTGCAGAGGGGTGTAGTGGACCTTTCAAATCCAGAACAGGGAGGATTGCGATAGGGCATTAGCAAGGAATATCTCGTTAGCGGGAAGCCTTCAAAGGTTGCTAGAGGGAGTCGAGCCTTTCTATCAACTATCAAATGTTCTGCGGGTAATGAAAAGGCTATGATTTTCCACCATCTTCTTGTACTCTTTAGTCAGCTTAGAAAATAAGCACAGGAATTTGGATGCTGGTCCGACGAAACGTCGATCGTGTAGTCCCATTCAAATTTTATTTAGGTCAACGGAGTACGGGATAGATGTTAGCAAAGACCGTTTGCCAATGTGGAGGTTGTGTATCAAGCGCTTAAACTGTTACGGCGGGATTGTGCTTGTTTATACTCTTTGCAAGGTGCAAACCCCGCTGCAATTCTGATCAATGTGCTACTCGGCATCAAAGATGGTAGAAGCGCCCTTTTAGTCTCAAGGCGTGATATGTTTTCCATCGAACTATCTTTCAACGGTCTATACACAAGGTTTTGATTCAATCCCCTAGTTGTTCCAACGTCAATGTCGGACGAATTGGCTTCAATCGCAGCTTTAAAATTCACTTCATTTGAATCTCCGCGATGCATCGCAGACTGTCAGCCTTCCCTCCTTCAGACTGTTCTCTTACGACTTGGAAGTGGGTGTTCAATTCAATTTTTTGACGTGATTATTCCGACTGGAGTGTAGAATCATATTGAGTTTGACCACCTTCAAGCACTTGACCAACCTCTAAGAATTTTATTCATATCACCGAAACTACAGTATACACAGGGAATCCTAAGCACCGTTCCAAGCCTGAAGGAGGCAGAGAAATGGGGTCCAAGCGAACAGATGAAGTTTTTCTGCACCAGATTTCGCTTCCGGGTCGGAGAGACTATCAGCTCCGTAGCTGTTCTTTAAAGGCAGATGCCTTGAAGTTTTCCTCTTCACAGCTGGTTGCTCGAGCATTTCAAAATGCCAGAGCAATAAGCTTCAATGCCTCACACGATGAGGTCCCGTTCGTCTTAAATCAAGCTCCCAATCAACGCTTATTCTACAGTGGTCCTCTAACCAGCCAGGCCACCCCCATAAATTTCTCTGGCCGTGCCGATACTACTATTTGCGGTCATGCCCATGAGCACAGTGAGAGCGAAGCGTCGTTTGCTTCGGCTGGTAGTCTGGGCCACAGCGACGATCTCTCAGAGGCTGGTCGAGAGCTATCTAAAGATACTGTCGGTGGTGTATTAGACAAGGTCGCATTCATGGACGAGCAGCACATAGTCATGAGCAGCACGCATTCTTTAAACCAATCTGCAAGGGTTGTCAAACCTTCATTCATTCTTACTCCAAGACGAGCTGTAAGCGGAGATCAGAGAACATCAATGTCTAACTTGGATAACCGATCTCGAAGCGGCGAGGTTACGAGAGCATCAAGGCCGAGCGTGGACAACTCAGCTCGATGTGGTGAGATCATTAGAGCGTCAAGGTCTACTTTGGATAGCCGAGGTCGTAATACTGAGTTTATGCTTGCTCCTCCGGCCGGTAAGCCATTAAAAATGTATTCACAAAGTGGTGCAAAATTGTGCGACGATGGTGATGGACCAAAAGTAGGAGAGAAAGGGGCAGGAGAGAGCAGACGAAGACCTACAGCTTCTATAGCTTGGGACAGCCTAAACAATTCTCAAGAGAACAGCCCTCAGCACGACCTCGCAGCTATTCCATTCAAGTGGGAGGAAGCCCCAGGTAAGCCCATTACCATAGCCGTTGCTGCTGAGAGATCTATGGCGAGGCGGCTTCTCAAGGACGGCGGTGAGTCAAGAAGCCCTCATGTGGTAGATGCTCAGCGAATGCCTACAAAGAAAGTGCAAAAAGAAGCAGTACCGCCCTCGGAGGAAGAGGAAACGTCAGCACGTGAATTGCACTTATCTCCCAACGGGATGCGAACATCCCCCAACAGCAGCTTCAGGAGTAGCCATCGATTCTATGCGCGCACGGCTTCAGGAGAAAGAAGCTTCGGACCTCGCACTAGCATCGACAGCGCGCATGTCATTTCAGAAGTGGAGACCGAGGCCCACATTGACCTCGTGGCTCCAGCCGCTGCCAAATTTCTGGTGGAGAGCTGGGTTTCGCCCAACGTTACGCCCGAGCAAAGTCTCACAACCACTATCCCTTTCAAATGGGAAGAAGCACCTGGTGTTCCTAAAGTCGATGAGGAAGCAATCGATAGCAAACCCATTCAGCTCCAATTACCACCTCGGCTTTCCGCTCCCCCTCCCTTGTCGGTAGATTCCGTGTCAAAGGAGGAAATGCGAGGCAGGCAACGAACACGTTCCATGAGCGGTCCTCTCGCTGGTTACTATCCCCACACATCTCCAACACGGAGACGTCAGCAGCAGCAATCGCCTCCTGTCATGCGCTCCTGCTCGCCTTCCAAGCGATCTATCTCTCCTTCTAGAATTCAAGCCCTGACCAAACACTTCACTCGCAAAGCTTCGCCCACGACTCATGTCGAAAATTCAAGGGAGGGTCCTCTGAGTTGGTCCGCTGGAAACAGGAATTATCGTCATAGCTACACATATGGTCATCGCTCTGGGCCTCTAGAGGACTTCCGAGATCGAGAAGCTAGCTCCAATCGTGCTCTGGGAAGGTCCACTTCAGCAGCGAGAGCGAATTCTGAGTTCGCAGCATTTGAGCAAGATGAGCCCAAAATTCGAGCTCCTCGCAGCTGCACTTCTGGTCCTCTGGATTCTTATGCTAAACCTTCAAAATCTCGATACAGTTCTCCTTCAAAAAGATCAATTTCCCCATCCAGAATCCATGCCCTTGCGAAACAACTGACTTGCAAGATTAAACCAGCGTCCGAGGTTCACACCTTAGAAGACCCCCACTGGCCTGTCTCAATAAAACATCAGGTGACGCGGCCGAACTCCTTCACACAGGCCCAAGTCTCTGTTTCACTTGACAGAGGTAACGTCAACGCTGTTGCAGCCACTGAGAGCTTTCGCCCCCGGCGGAGAACCCCGTGCGAACCATTCTCTTCCAGTTCTTATGCTTGGATTGGGAAGCATCAGGAACTAGGGCGCGATCCATGGTCACCCACCAGCATCCTCCAAGGTCCCAACGATCACAGCCAAGCTCATGCTTCAGGCCCCTCATCAGCTTCAGATATGGACACACAAACTCAAGCCTCGACTCAAGCAACCACCCCTATCTCTGTCGCTCTTTCAAAGTCGCTCTCCAAATCATTATCCCGAATATCATACGAATCGTTTGAGCACTCATTCACGGAGCCAACTAGTCCAAGCCCTGAAGGTCCACCCACCACCGAGGATGCAGGAAATAATTCGCTACTTGATTCTCCCTATCTCGGCCCAACTTCTGCAGATTACAGAAGGAAAGACTCTTCGGGAGGAGCTGCCGAGGGCGTGAAAGCGATCATCAAGATGTGCAGGTCAGGGTCCACATGGAGAAAGAGCAAGACGCACAGCCCTGAGATGTGGGCTCCTACGCTTGCATCTTACTTCCAGTGTTTGGAAGCTACTATGAGCAATCCCGGTAATGCTCGTAAAGAAATAACACATTTGGACCAACAAGAAGAGGTAAATAGAGCATATGGTTCTGCTCAGAATCTGTCGGAGTTGAATGAAGCACAAACGAGGCTGCCTTACACGATGCCCTCTCACATCGAGCAGAAATTGTCTTACAAGGAGTATTGTGATTCTCCTAGTGCAGAATTCACGAAGTGTCTTGGGGTAAAGCTCTCTCCCGCAAGCTTCGTATCTAGAGGGGAGACCTACTCGAGTATGGAGAGTTTGATGGCTTGGAGTGAACGGCATTTGAGTCACCCTACAAATAGTATGGAAGATGGATACCGATCCCCTGCTTATGCAGCTACATTGGAGCTTTTGTCTCCCTCTGCGGAGTTGATCAGAAAGAAAAAGTGGATCATGGGAACATCCAGGGGAGTCAAATTGGTTATTCCATCTTCAAGCACAAGGCGGAGAACTCACTTTGTGGTAATTTCCTCATTTTGTCACTAAATCTCTGTGATGCTGTTATTTGCCGATCAGTCATGTTCCTTGTCACAAGTGATGAAGCAAAATTGATCTAGGTACCTTATGAGCAAAAGCGTTGTAGACTCGACTTAAGCTGTCAATTTCTAAAAGAAATTTTTGCCTGCTCAATGCTCTGTTGCTTACGGATGTTAGTGTATTTACAGGAATCTATGTGCAAATCATTGAAGCGTGCGTTGTACAAATGTGCTAAGCGGTGCTGCCGCAAAACTGTGAAACTGCAGTATAACGAAGAACCTGTTGTACTTCCCCCAACTGAATTCAGTTTCTACAAGGTAGTTCCCTTTCTCAGACAGGCTGGTGTTAGGTGACATTATTTTGAATAGATGGTTTTTACTGTAAGCGTGTTGTGATCACCTGGAAATTTTGACGGAGTACAGGGCTAATTCAAACGTTGCCTTGTCTGTTGCAGCCAAATTGATTGTTCAAACAGATGGAGCAAGTACACTAAACTAGTGCAGATTTTTCTAACAATTACCTGAAATTTAACCAAGTTTATCCTAGACATGCTGGCCAACTGTACAAGTATGAGCTGTAGAAATTGCTGGGTATTGATGATTTTTCACACAAAGCACTGCCTACATGTAAAAAATTATGATCGGTGTCGTACACTTCTATTAAGATTCTTATGGGACAGCCAACCTGCCGTCGCTGCCAATTTTTTTAGTGGTCAAATAGATCCTCATATTTCATCACACTAACATTAGGCACAAGAAGGATGTGGGTTAGGAGGCCGTTGGACCGAAGAGGGTGTTTTCTGCCGGATTTCATAATCCAAAGATTTCACAATGTAGGATTCCTTCCTTAATCAAGCTTGGCCAATCAGCATCCCATTTCGTTTATGCGTACAGTCGTAACTGGTAGTAGCAAGCAAACAGAACAACGTGGGGGAAGTAAGCAAGCTGTGAAACAGAGCCAAGGATATATTGCATGTGTCAGGAAAAACCATGATGCTAAAAAGAATACTGATGAAGACGAGAGAATACATTGTGGAAGCTAACATTAGCACCTTGCCATCAGCAAAATCATAGCAGATGTATCTGGCATTTCATCTACTGGTTCTCATCAGTAAACTTGCCATATGAAGCCTAAGAACACCCATCGAATTCCCTCACAAGTGAGATTAAATACTGCTCATTTGTACCTAGCACAATCTCTATGTAAAATTGAATGGAGAGATCACTCCATATATTAGAGCCTAGGTAGCTACTGTGATACCACAAACAATAAAACCTAATCCTTAAATGGAGATTGTGGTGACACACAGTTCTATTTAATAGCAAAATCTACTACAGACGAGTTAATGAAGTTATCTTCTATAATGATCTCCACCTGTACCCCAATTACAACCACCCTCCTCTTTGCCATCAGATTGAAGCAGTTCAAGCACAGCCGTTATTACTAGTTTGCCTTCTTGGTGGGTGTCAAACTGAGGATCTTTCAATTTAATATCAAGGAGCAGATCAAGTTGCCTCCGCAGCTCCTGCTTTGCCACATCACATCCATCCACAATGAGAAATTTGAGCCTCATTTGAAACATGTTGAAACTACCCAGGGATACATACTTTGCGCAGAGTCACAAGAGACAACCACTGAGGAACTAGAAAGAAACGATTAAACTTACTTGAACCAAATGAAGTGTCTTTTTGGAAGCTTTAAATTGATGATAACCATCCAGCATCTCAATACCTTGCTCGTTCTTGCTGGTTGTTAGATTGCCTCCAAACATGAGCAGGACATAATCAGAAACATCGGTGGAATCTAGTACATAAATTGCATCTGTCTTCACCTTTCGCCCGTAAACCAGCCATGGGCGTGAGAAGGAATTGACCCTTGTATTGACAAAGGCTGGGTGGGGCTCCACTTTGCCATCCTCTTTTGTGAGGAAGGCGGTTCGCTTGCCCCGTAATTTACACTGGACGACGCTGGGAAACAGACCAGCACACAAAACTGCTCTCACCATCTCCAAATCTTGGCTGTTCTGGTTATAAATCTGCAATATGTGATTTAAATAGTGGGTTCTAAGAGTGGATATACGAATCTTGGAAAACGACTTCCTTCTTCAAACGCCAATAACTGATTTATGACATAGTGAACCACAATTAAGAAGCTATACATTCTCAAGGTGCGATTTCAAAGTTCAGCAAAGAAGCCAAAGAACTAAGGATGAAGACCACCAGTAGGCCTTTGGAATCATCTAAGAAGCTGATGTCAGAGAGTAAATTCTGGAATTGACGGTGCATGTCGTCCATCATTTGAAGCGTGTTTGAAGACAGAAAATTTTCCCAACAAAAACTACGTTCCCGCCCTGCCCGCTTTGCCTCTTGCTAACCTTCAAAAGCTTTGTGCAGTGCTATATGGTCACTGCGAAATAACGTTGCAATACTTTTATCATAATTACTTCAGTGTTAGAATTCACACCTCTCCATCATCCTCCTCTTCTCCACATCATTCAAAACAGACAATGATTACTGGGAAAAGTAACTCTTGCTGCAAAATTTATTGAGCCCAACTCAAGAATTTAAAGAATCAAACTCTAAACAGCTTTTATATTTCATGCGCAACATGGTTGTTGACTACATTGCTACCTTCGGGATTCACCAGCAAAATATCGTCGGGGTCTCATCCGCCTCCTCTTTGTGTTCAAGGGGAAGGACAAAGGGGTCACGTTGGGCAAGACCCGCTGCAATCGTGAGAGCAGGTCCAAGACACTGAAAGACTGCCTCCATGAGAAGCATCTTTCCCACCTTGGGATCCACAGGTAATTTTGCCAGATGACAACCTGTAAAAACAAGGATTGTCGATCTCATGTGACAATGTAGGTAGACCAGACTTAATGGCTCAGTGAGAAGCACTTATATATGACATAGCAAACACATGATACGAAGGAATTCCAGGGAAAAAAACACTTTTAAGTGTCAAGAAATAATTCACGTCATCCCGAGTCTTGTGTAAAACCCAGAACAATATTTGGGTGCAACCGTGACATTCCGTCTTATGCACACACCCACAATTACAAGCGAAAGCTACAAACTGTGATCAAACATGAGCTAGCCAATGAGTGCTTGGCATACACGCAATATTTTCTCCTATACATTGCCATTAACGATGCCATAAACAACACGGACCTTCTTGTAAAATGTTTTATGAGGCACAGATCGAGAAACTTACCCAACGGTGTCAAATCTTCCTTACGAGTCCAAGCACCGATTGCCTTCAGTAGGTCAATGGCATTCTGTACTGCAAGCACTTCAGGTGGCTCCAAAGCTTTCGACAAGAAGCTGACAATACTGTCCTGCTGCAGGCTCTTTATCTGAAGACATAACTCTTGTAAAGGCGTCCGCAGCATCTCGGAAAGTTGATAACGAAGCTTAGAGTCATACACCAACCTAGGGTACACATGATAGCAAACACCAGGTTGAACTCGTCCAGCTCTTCCTCGTCTCTGAATTGATCGCAAAACTCTAAGAGTGAGATAATTCATATGCTCACATTCCACAATGTATTTGCATCGAACATGCAGGATTGAGTAAAAAAGAAAACAAGGAGAATTTGGCATCAACATTCAATTGAAAGGAAACAATCTACGATTAAAGCATACACACATGATTTGCAGAGGCCTTTGAAATCCAGGTTGGTGTTGAACATGTTAGTTTGTTCAGTGTATCATAACTGGTCTCCTTTGCCTTCCCACAATCAATCACGTGGACTACATCATCAATCGTGATACTGGTCTCAGCGATGTTGGTGGAAAGCACAATCTTCCTGCAACCAGAAAGGCCAACAGGGCTCGCATTTAAGTCTGCTAATATTCCTGTAAAATACACAAGATGCCCGTTTCACCAGTCATCAATCAGAGTAATAACAACCATATAAGCTTAAGCCTGAAATCACAACATAATGAAATACTGTTAAAGCATGTTACGTTATCAAGGCCAATACTTCACTACTATCTTCCAGCAAATTTATAGCATTGTAGTAAGAAACCCAACACGGACCTCATAATGGACACAGAGTTTCAACCATAGCTTTCTATGAACACAACAGCTCTAATAACAACGACATAGCCTCGAATTCCTTGCAACAACAAAGCAGGCTCCACATCCATCACTCCACGCTTGTAGTGACTGCTGTGTTCCACGACTGTAGTTTCGGTACTCTAAATCTATATTGATCCCCTGTGTCATAAAAGGTATCCAAAATAAGACTTCCACACACGTCCCAATGCATGGTGGTTCAAAGGATAAGATATATAGGAACCCAAAGCAGCATCAAAGTACCCATATACTACTGAAAGAAGCACAAGTATAGTGAATTTTAAAGCATTACTACGGAATATAAACCAAGAAAAACAATAGATACTTCAAAACATTATGTGTGGTTTAGTAGCAGACTTGCCTCGAAAGCTTCAAGCACTGGATCCTGCACCTTCTCCTGCGCTTTTCGTCTTCTACCCCCATGACCATTGTAACCTCCTTGATCAGAACCTACAGGAAAGTGGGCAAGCTCCAGCACATCCTCCAGGAATAGCTCTTTCACTGGATGCGTAAACCCCTGCATACGCTTGGCACTCATCTAGTAAACAACCTCATCTCATGATAAATTTGCTATCATCTCTCAGATTAATAACCTTTCAACAGAAAATATTGAGCTTCTCATTGAGATCTTTCTGGGTTAAATCTAAATCTTAATTCTTATGCATGGGATACTGAAAAACTCCAAAACGAGTTTCGCCAATCCAATGTGGACAAACAACAAAATATATGAATTCAAAATTCAAGAAGACATGCAAACTGACAAGTAAATGCCTCAAAACCCTACTACTAGAAACTCAAAGACTCATTTTCCAAAACGAGGAGACTTACAGGAATGTGCTTCGTTGGTGCACCTCCGAAATATCTTGAAAACAGTTCTGCATTTACGGTTGCACTAATCAAAACCAACCGCAGGTCTGGACGACGAGGCAGTAGGTCCCGAAAAATGATCAGCAGAAAATCTTCATTCATGTTGCGTTCATGAATCTCGTCAACCATAATGTGACTCACACCATTCAAGTCAGGCTCCTGGACCTATTCACCAGGAAATACAAGTGACTAAGAATGGGCAACTCACGTAGTGGCACCTATTCATCAATATCCCTATACGCTGAACATTGTCTCGAAGTAATGGAAAACTATTTGATGCGCAAGAAAACCCAAATATTATAAATATGGCACAGGACATACAAGCCGTCGAAGTAGCACACCAGTGGTGCAAAACAAGAGACGCGTCTGTGCAGATCGTTTAGCTTCCAAACGGATCTGGTAACCCACGGATTGGCCCAATGCATTCCCCACTTTCTGCTGCAACACGGGCAGCCACCGACGTAGCAGAAATCCGCCTAGGTTGGGTGCAGATAATGTTGCATTCAGAATCTCGACCTGCCTCTATCTCCTCTTCCAACACAAATTGTGGTAGCTGGGCGGTTTTTCCACAACCTGTCTCCCCAGAGACCACAATCACCTGTCCACAACCACGAGTACAAGGAACGTGAAATCCACATTCTTCACTGTCGTACCAACTATTGTGTCAGTCTCTTCTGAAAGTGACCAGTGAACATGGTAGCACCATCTGAAACTATACCTGATTGTTTTCCACAGCTTCTAAGAGCTCTGACTTCATCTGAAATGCAGGTAGTTTCTTTCGAAATAATTCCAACGCCTTCACTGCGCCACTTGCCTGTTGATAACGAAAACGAGAAATTAAGTTCGGCACCTCGAACCAGGAGGAATGTAGTAGCAAGACTGGGAATATAAGTGACCTGCTATGTAGCTCAAAGCTCACAAGATACATGACCTTGTAGACAACCAAGTAATACCTGACAAATTTGAATGAGAGTGCTGAACACATGCTGGCCAAAAACATCAAATTACAACCTTCAGTTGTCGCTGATTGTCTCGCAGCTCCACATTCAACTTCTCCTTGTCCACTCCTGATAAAGTCTGACCTTGAGGAGTTGCTTGTTCCCACCTTGATCGTCTCTGCGAATTTCAGACTTGAATGAAGGTAATATATCTGCAGCACGGATACTAGCCAGTATATTTTCAACCCGGCTCTCCGTAGTGGCAGATAATGAAATCTGTAGGTTACAGCACCAGGAGCAATATAAATGCTTCCACATAAAGTAAAAAATATATCCCAGAAGGTTCGCTCAAGCCATCTGTGACATTCCAGATGTGAATACATGATTTGGACACAGATTTCTTCTGCAGGATTTGCATGACTTACAAGTGAATACCAAGCCTGTATGCAGATCTTCCAGAATATCTGCACCATTGCGACCAAAATTCCTTTTGATCACTACCTCCTGCTGATCCAAGGCGACCTTTAACTTTTCCAATTTAGCCCACCACTCATTCTCATCCAGAACCTCCTCCTTTGGACCCTGCAAATTACCAACAGCCAAATGAGAACCAAACGAGGAGGTACATCCAATGAAGTCACCCACATAACTCTACGCCAATGTTTAAACCACTCAAATGAAGAGAATTGGATTGAACCTGCAGGTACATGAATTTGGAATAAAAACTCAGCTCATATCTCCTCAAGTTACATATTAAGATCCTCAAGAATTCTAGAGGCAGTTGGAAGATAACGAGAGGAGCCACTATTGCGCTTCGAACACAGTGAATTCTTTAAAAATCTCCCTTAAACAGATCCTAAATGCAACCACAGATGCTGGCAAAAGACGACCTATTCTAATTCCACGATAAATAACAACGGTAAGTTCTACCTCCGCTTGCAACTGCTTCAGCTTCTCAGCTCTCCACACAGGATCCCACCATCCCTGCTCACCGCCCCTACTTCGACCACTACCACCACCTCCTACACGACCACCAGCGCAGCCCCTACCCGGGCCTCCAGCTCTCCTGCCCCGCCATTGAGACTTCGACCCGCCCGGCGTTGCTCCCGCTACCACACTCATACAAAAACCTCCAAGCCGGTGCTCGATTACAGCTCTGCGTCATCGCAGGGCTGGGTCTCAATGCCAGCTTTCCTGCCATATTTCCTGCCATCTCTCCACCCTGACCCATAACCAAGCACTCAAAATCTACCACCCTCCCTCGACAATTACTTCGTAAAACCGCGGCACATCGCGAACACCTCTCAAGCAGCAGTTTCTATTCCCACGTCGCCCCCTAAATTGCATTTGTATAAACATGCATTAGAAATACAATGTAAAACGTCTGTAAAGGCCGACTGTGATGAGTTGATTTTAGAAAATTCGGTCACTCGCAGCAGCAGCAACAGCAAGTGATTGAAGAGGACGATTTGCAAGTTTGTGGCGAGAGATTTGTTGCGAACGGTGTTGGCGATGGGGAGTTCGAGAGAGGCAGACGCTGGGTGACGGCGCTTAACGCGTATCGCCGCAAAGAAGACGCTTTTGCCGCCGCTGTGCGTCTGTCGCGGCTTCGACTTTCCTGGGCAGCGGGCAGGGGTAGAACTCCCTGCCCCAATGTTACCCCTGGGAGACCGTCCACCCCTTAACGTCATGAAAACATAGAGTGAGAATTAATTTGCTCCAAATTTTACTAATGTTAAACTAAAATTTTGAAGAAAATTATACAAGTAATTGGATGGTTATTTTAAATTTTAAATTTAGTAGATGTTGAAAAAAGATTGTATGAAGATTGTTGTTATATTTCTAATATTTAAGCATATGTAAATATTTCATTGATATATCATAAATGAAATATTCTAGGTAAGCTTTAAAATATATTTTTGAGCTTTTCCACAGATACATTCAAAAAAAAATTTTAAAAGTAAGAAGATTAATATAAATTTTTCTAGAGTCACATGTCATATCTAGAAGAACCTAAAAATATAATTTGAATTTAGAAAAGTCTCTCAAAGTTTCTTGAAAAAGACTTTATTTATCTTACATACTTCTACCTACTTCTATTTACTTATATTTACTTGAGTAATATTGGCATTATTACACTATTATTCTATTTGTGTTTTGAACTAATCTCTCTTTTTCGAGGCATGCAATCACTTAAACTATATATTTTTATAATCTCTTCTTTACAACATGAGATTCTATAAAAGTTGATAGAATAATATACCAAATTAGTTACAGCTTAAGGAGATACTTCTAAAGCATGAACCTTGGTTTTAGACCTACTATCAATTTTGGATGTAGATGTCAATTAATTTTAAAAAAATCAAATTTGATATCAAACAAGCCATCCAGTAATTTATAAATCACAATTATTCTTCATGTTATTAATATATTAATATATAAACATAAATTTTTCGAAATTGATGAATTTTACGTTTTTTTTTTAAATTTTGATATATTTATTAATATATTTTACAAAAATTATTTCAGATTTTATAATAATACACTTTTGTGTTATAAAATTTATACCACTATGCATGATGTAGTATTGGAACTATTCAATTAATTTCAAATGGTTGGACGGAGCAACAATAGGGGTTCAATTCAATTTCAAGCACGTAAGGTTTTGCGTTGAGAGAAATTAAAATATAGATCAATATATACATACATTTCACATCTCATTATTCCAATGACCCAACTTTACTTCCCATCCCCTTGTTATACACTGCACTCACTCACTAATCATCATTAAAAACCACCATCAAATTCAAAAAATCTTGTTAGGGAAATGCAGATATTTTATTTTATATTATTATTATTTAACATGACTAATTTTTTAATCTTTTTCATTCGGAAATAAATTAGATATTATTGATCTCAAACTCGTTTGTCGCCATGTATCCACAAACTAAAGTGAACAATCACCGAGTCAACACTATCTCCTTCCTCGGAACCAGAGCTTCACCAACACAAACAGAAATAAAAGCGGAAGCTCCGAAAAGAATAAATTGAACGATTCAAAGGAAAAGACACGAAATTCCGCCACTCACATCCCCGCACTCCACAGAGGTGGGAAAGAAAAAGCACGCAAGTAAGCAAGCAAGCAAGAAAGAAAAAGAAAAGGAAATGAAATGTGACTTCGGGCGCTGGCAAGGAGAGAGGACCCGTGCCCGATCCAGCTGCAAGCTCTCCAAAGAAAGAAAGAGACCTTTTTGTCTTTTTCCTTTAGTCCATACAAAGGAAGCAAAACGAGACCTCCATGTGTGCTAGCTACAGTGTTGTATTATTCTTCTTCTTCTTCTTTGCAGCGGCATCTATGGTTATGGTGGTGAGCGAGGCGTCTCGTCTCACTCCTCCTCCCTCGTCTCTCTACAGTGCCGACCTCCCTCCCTCGCTGCCACGCTCTGGACCTCCAGCTTGAGGTAAATTCCGTTTGCGCTCATTTCTCGCTCGATTTTCTGGTGAATGTTGCTTGGAATGCATATCTCTCTGTTGTTGTTGGTCGTGTGATAGGGGATTTTACTTGGCAGGTGAACTCGGTGCGATCACAGTTCGAGTTTCCAATGTTAGATCTGCTTGTAGTGCTCGGAGGTTTAGGTTGATTTTTCTGCGGTTTTTCTGATGAGATCGTTGCGAAATTTGAGGTTCGTTTGGTGAATGTGTTGCGTGTGAATTACGATTCAATTTGGTTTTTTCGTTTCTTGAAATCTGGACTGCGCTCGGTTGTGGTTGTGTTCTTTCTTTGTCTTGGAGATGTCCGAAGTGGTGCCCCGTGTAATGAGCATTTTGTTTTTTTTAGTGTTTAATATTATTTTCTCAGCAAAGATGAACTGGCGTTGTGTACTTTGGTGTTATCTATATTTTTCTGGCTAGCCTTGGCATTTCAGACATGGGGATCCTTAACTTTCTGTTGTGTTTGCGGGATACGATTGCCATTGCCATCGTCTTGGTATTATGGTTTCTTCTCTACCGCGTGGAAGATCATGGTTTTAGCATCGTAATGTATAGAGAGTCAGGAAACTAGTTTATTCATCGATCATTTCGCTGGCTGTAGGAGAGAAATGTTGGGGAAAGAGTTTGCTACTGTCTACACGAACTTAAATTGTTTTTCACCTGACAATGTGTCGGTTTTCCAAGACAATGGAGCTATGTACATCTGCGATTACTTTCACAAGAAATTTCAAGTTCAATGGTGTTTGATTCTTGACGAGGGATTTGCGACTGGAGCATGATTTCTAGTTGGAAAATTACATACCAGTGTTTTCTGTATTTCTTGTTTCGAAGTTGTTTTGCAAACATATTCTTACAGATTTTGCAGGAATATGATGCAGATGGGAGTTGTAACCGAACAATTTCTCGGCGTTTCTCGGCGTGTACTTGTGCACGATAGACATGATACGAGTTTGAAACACAGTGGGACGTGCAAAAACTAGTACTACTTTAGGCTTGATGTAAGGCATTATAAATGTTTCAGGGCGTTTGATGTTTTTTGAATCGGTCGTTATTGTATTCCCTTTACTGCAATGCTGACTCGAACCACACAGAAATAAGATATCTAGCATATCTCTATATGTTTTGGTACCTGTCGTCAGTATTGCCCACTGCTCGTTTTCCTACCGATTTTTCTTAGATAGCTACCGTTCGAGATATCTGAATCTTCCATCGAATTTGCACAGATGAATCGGTAGTAAATGTATTGCTTTAGTAATGGTTGTCAAATACCACATGCAGTTAATTTGGGTTCTCAGTCGTCGGAAGAGACACGAACCAGATCGTCCTCATTCATCGTCTGCATAGATTTTCATTGATCGTCATCATTTTCATAACTCTTGTGAAATTGCTTAAATTAATGCAATCTTAATCGGTGTGGTATAGAAGGAATTTGTTCTAAACTTAATTGTTACGTTCATGGGCTGCAGCTGGACATGCCGGATGGAACGTCGTAGTGATGTAAAAGACATGGAAAGTGGATGGTGAGGAAGAGCGCTCGTCCAAGCTGGCTCATCTTGGCGATAATTGTGGGATGTGTACTTACAATTCTGTCTCTGAAAGGTAGCGTTCGAAGAATCTCTGCAGGAGCATAATCGAGTAATTCACACTTCCACATAGTGCGCCAGATACAGCAACATGCTTGGAAATCGACTGCTGTGGGGTGTGGCCAGATCCTGCCTGCAAAGACCTACGTATTTTTCACGGAAATATATAACGCCCCACATACACGAGGGTGTGCTATTCAGGAGAAGGTGTTTCAGCTCGGGATCTGGAGTAGAAGCTTCCTCCCCTCTTCAGAAGCAAGGCCAAAATGGAATGCTGTTCAGAGTTTTGACTTCGGGGAAAGGAAAAGTTCAAGGAAAGTCGTACCTGCTTGCAGTTGCTGCTACTGGTTGTTTCGGAGCTGGTCTTCTTGTCGCACTAGCTGATGCAGGGCAGGATAATTCCTCTTCTGGTTCCGATGAAGCTGTGTCTGCAGGAAATTCAAGGAAACAGAAAGTTGTGATTCTTGGAACAGGATGGGGGGGAGTCAGTTTTCTCAAGAACCTGGACTCATCCAAGTATGATGTGCGAGTTGTATCTCCTCGCAATTATTTTGTTTTCACCCCCTTGCTGCCTAGTGTCACATCTGGCACTGTGGAGGCTCGGAGTATCACAGAGCCAATTCGAAGGATTATTCGGAAGAAAGATGTGAAATTCCATGAAGCTGAGTGCACAAAGATCGATGCAGCAAACAAGAAGGTCGTGTGCAGGGACAGCTCTGATGTGAAATGCGTAGGAAAGGAGGAATTTGAGCTCGAATACGACTATTTGGTAGTGGCAGTCGGAGCTACTTCCAACACATTTGGCACCAAGGGTGTTGAGGAGTACTGTCATTTTTTGAAAGAGATTGAAGATGCTGAGAAGATCCGTGGACGGATTGTTGATTGCTTTGAGACAGCTAGTCTACCACACCTATCTGACGAGGACAGGTCTGCTCCCTTTCCCTTATTGTACTGTATTATGATGTATTAACTTTTCTCTCCTCCCTTCTTGGGCTGAACACCCTTTTTCTTTTACCCATCCTTAACGATGAAATTTGCCAATAGGAAGCAATGTCCCCACAAGTAGAATACGGTTGGTCGGTGGAGTCTCCATTTTATTTATTTATTTATTTATTTTTTGATTCTATTGCTCAGCTTTGAGGTAGTTCATATGTTGTTCTTCTGGAACGTTTCCTTCGAAGCTGACCCGTTTGAATAAATTAGGCGAAAACTTCTCAGCTTTGTGATAGTGGGTGGAGGTCCCACAGGAGTAGAATACGCTGCTGAGCTTCATGATCTCATTCATGAAGATCTCACCGGTTTGTATCCAGAACTGCAGAAGATAGTCAAGATAACGGTAGTGCAATCTGGTGACCATATCCTCAATACGTTCGATGGGCGTATAAGTGAATATGCTGAGAAGAAATTCGCTAGAGAAGGAATTGATGTGAAGATTGGAAGCCGGGTTCTGGGTGTCAGTGATGAATCCATCACTTTCAAGTCGAAAGCGACTGGCAACCTTGTGGAGATGCCTTATGGCATGATTGTTTGGTCAACAGGTACGACTACTGCTACTACTATTTCCACTACAACTACTACCGTCTGGCACTGTTTCAGAGTCGTCTGAGTTCATGTTCTTACCTAATCGGGTTAGAATGAACGTGAATATTGGTGTTACTATATATGCGAAGTGACATTACACATTCTGCTACTTCTGATCGCAAGTTGGAGGTTTTGAGAGTCCAGTGGACAAATCTCTCGTAAGCACTAATGATATTCATATAAGCAAATCAGGTTTTTATTGGATTAGTGGATAAGCAAGGCTGATCGACATCTTACTAAGTTGGACTAATCAGTTGCATATGTGTCTCTTATTCTGCGAGTATGTTCCAACTATGAAGCCTTTTTTTGGCATTCATTACTTTCAATTGTTGGAATTAAAGGCATGTAAAATATGTAAGAGGATCCTTTGTGTTGGTGTTACAGGAATTGGCACTCGTCCAGTGGTAGCTGACTACATGAAACAGATTGGGCAAACTGATCGTAGAGTTTTAGCTACAGATGAATGGCTCCGTGTTAAAAACGCTGAAGGAGTTTATGCTCTTGGAGATTGTGCCACCATCGAACAACGTAAAATTGCTGAGGATATCGCGTACCTATTTAAGTTGGCGGACAAGAATGGTGACGGTACCTTGTCTGTTTCTGAGTTTGTCGACACTATGAACAACGTCAGAGTACGTTATCCTCAAATTGATCTTTACATGGAGCGGCAGCATATGAAAGGGGTGGTTGGGCTCCTGAACGATGCTATAAAGAAGGAAAAAGATTTGAAGCTTGATCTTGACCATTTCAGCGAGGCGATCTGCAAGGTTGGTTTGCTTAGTCCTGGAATGCGTCTTCTAAACAGAAGCGTTGCAACATGAATGTTGAACGTTTGCCACCGGATATGTTGCATCTTCAGGCTTCACCTCTGACGTCGAGCTTGGTGGCACGTGTAATTTTCAGGTAGATTCCCAGATGAAATCTACACCAGCCACGGCTCAGGTTGCTGCTCAACAAGGCGAGTATCTTGCCCGCTCTTTCAATCATCTGGCGACAGAAGATCCTGACGAAGGGCCGGTGCGCATCAGGGGGGGTGGACGCCATCGTTGCCAACCCTTCCTCTATCGGCATTTAGGCCAGTTTGCTCCTTTGGGAGGCGAAACAACTGCTGCTGAACTGCCCGGAGATTGGGTTTCCATTGGTCGAAGCACTCAGTGGTTATGGTACTCTGTGTATGCCAGCAAACAGGTGAGCTGGCGCACTCGAGCACTTGTGATATTTGATTGGACCAAGCGATTCGTGTTTGGGCGAGATTCTTCTCGAATGTGATTCTTCAACTGTATTTTAATTGGGGAAGGGGATATGGCACGAAAGGTTGGGGAACCAACTAGAGCCATGAAAAATCCAGCTTAGTTGATCATTCACCTAAGCTGGATTGCTGTTGCACCATCAGATAAAAACGATGTCAAGTTTGTTGACAGTTTCCAAGGATACCATTTGCAATGATCTGCATTTACTGAGGGTCTCTGTTTCTTTGTCAGAGAATGCATTGTTTTGTGTCGGCTATTTTTACACTATTAGAATTACGTCGAATTGACCTGCTGGAGATTGGTAGCCGGTTGAATTTCTTCCATTAGCTTCAGAGGTACATCACCCATGCCCATAATGAAAACATGGATGTGTCCACTTTGCAACAGAGCAAAAGAAAAATCAATATGTACCTTATAGCAGCTCACATAACAGTTTTACTTAAACCTCACCTCTGCCTTGACAGTTTACACAGCTGGAAAGGTGATAAGTTGTGCTAAATGGATTGGATCCACAACTGTTTCAAATAATTGAACTTAATTTTAGAGCAAACTCAAACCCTGCATCTAATTTATCTACTGTGCTACTCCGAGATATTGCACTATGATTTGCAGAAACCCCAGCATGTCATAACTTGCACATGTCTGTTCAACTTGCTACTTGCAAGTATCACCAGCAAAGGGTTCAATTCTAACACCTGACATGCGACTGACTTCATGCTTCAATGACCCACTGCAGGGTTTGTTGTCAAATGTGTCCATACTTGATGGCTGGTTTCTTCCTGGTACTGTGTCTAACTAAAGAGAACCCAAAGTGTGCAATGTAATCACAGCTTCAAGTGGCACCAGCCAGTTGTACAGCCTGAGCCATCTAGTCTGAAACCCCAAATGCCAGCATCAAGACAGAAGATAAGGTTTGGACATCAGCACATTATACAATTGCTGTACAATGTCTGGTATCATGTCTTGTCTTGAAGGTCTGATTTGCTTCCCTGACACATTTAACTGATACATGGTATCTTATCAAAAGAGCCTAACTATCAACAAACAAAACAACAAACAGAACAAACAAGCAAACAAACAAAGGTAAACCACAACTGTGGACAATGATTCTGAGGCTCAGAGCGAGTAGAGTGGTTCACTGATTTGTGGCCATGGAATTTTAGTGAGGGATGAGACATGGAATTCTTGAAGTGTGAGGCTGAATCATGGCTAACTGTTCACCCCTCCACAGCCCCAGCACACTTGATATGGACTCCCTTCACTTCAGCTGAGTACCCCCCTCAGCAACCTTCCAATATAAATGGTCCATTCTAAGAACAATTAGTTGTGTCCCAAGCTCTACCCTTCAAGACACCATGTGACAAGTGTCAAAATACTACAAACCTAGTTCATACACAAATGTCTCAATTTATACTCTCTGCTCTTCCACTTCCCACCCATACTGCAAAAAGACCCATCAGCAGCAACAGAGACTTTCTTTTTCTCCATCTGGTGCCATGAACATTCAATACTTCACTTGCATTTATATATGGGAAAGAAAGATATTCTTCGAGAAACAAACAATGAAGATAAAACCAAACTACATAAATAATCCTTCTCAATGACCAGAGTTGTATTATTATTCTCTTGAAAAGAACACTAACTACAGATGCCTTCGAAACAGGAATACAATAATTGAATCGCATATGAGATTGGGAAGAATTGTCTTAAAAAGCAAAAGAATGGTTGATATTCATAAGAATTATTTTCTATATACTCAAGGACACAAGTTTCTCCTGGTGATTAATAGTTTAAATAGGATTCCTCTGTGTCTTGTAGTAGATAGATCAGAGGAACCCATAATGAGCAGGCTGTGTTTCTATCATTCTTTTCCCAAGTTTTTATTTTTATTTTTGCATTGTTGGGTGATTTGATACATGATATCATTTTTTTCCCACTGGGTGTGCCCTTCAATCTGGAGTGTGTGCAGAGTAAGAGCATCAAGTGGCCCCCAAAGGAGGAGGAGGGGCCAGGTCCTTTTGGACGAGGGCCCAGTACTCAATCATTGAGAGTGCAGGGAATCCGCAGGGCCTTCCTTCCACTAGTAAGTAGGTGTATGTGCAGCTTCCATCACAATAGCATGGTGACAGATCCCCCACCCCACCCTCACACACCCCTGAGGCCCTCACTCACACAATAAACATAGGGCAGCAGCCCACTCTTATGCAAACAAAATAAGTGTGAAGACTCAGGCTCCCATCAGCTTAAAAACAAGCAAACAAAGAAAAAAAACTCACATGGAGCTGCACTAAAAACTGAGTTCACCATATGATTGTGGACACCACAATTTGACTAAACACAGCCTGTTTCTTTTCTGTCTTCTTTTCCCCACATACATACAGAGACAGTATGCTGTAAGTACAAAGTCTAATTTAGATAGATCAGTTGGTGCCTTGACTGCACACACACACACACACATTGATACCAGTTTGTGGACATGCATGCAAGTGAAGCTTGAATGTATGTTCCAGAAACAAAAGCAAACAGCACTGTGCATATACCTGCATGAAGTTGACATAGATCTTCACCTGTTTTCTTAGCTTTGCCCCCCTCAAATCATTCAAGATATCCTACTCTAAATTTTCAAAGGGTCTAGTTCCAGCTAGTTCCATGCTCAAGGCCTTCTCAACTCAAGCCTCATGCATGAAACATTGTAGTGCCCTCAGCCCAAGTTCACAGTCTCTCAAAGGGGTTTGTGCAGTTTTAAAGCAGAATCTGGAATTAGGGTTTCTAAGTGGATGCAGAAGTTGTGGAAAGGCTCAGTTTCACTAACCTGACTTCTTCACTCTCATGTTTCATAAACTTGCATGTTGATTTCTGTGCAGAAAATGACAGAAACAGATGCAAAAGAATAGGCTCCAAAAAAAAAACTGGGTTAAAACTGTGCAAGCTTAGCAAGGTGAACACCAACAGGACTAATGGTTGAATTGGGGGGGGGGGGGGGGGGGATGTGTGGGTTTTTGAACCCTAGGAATCATCAAAGGGACTTTGTGTGCTACCATTGGAACCTCAAGAATTGCTCTTTTCTTCCTCAAAACAACACCCACTGCTTATCAGTTCAAGCAAGTGGAACACCCAGTTTATGAAATATAAACCTTTTTTTTCTTGCATTAAAGAGAAGTATAACTTTTGTCCTTCTTTTCTTTTACCAAATCTAAATTATTCACCAGTCTCTTGAAAACTTTGCCACCCACTTTGTAGCTAGAGATATACATTTTCTAAGGTTTTGAGGGCACAGAGGCTCTATGAGACATGATACATTTTTATTTTATTTTATTATTTTATTTTTAATTGCCAGCAAGGCAGGAGTTCCACTCATGCAAATGGATCTAAGGATGATGGGAAAGAGTCACAGAGAAAAGAGTGAGAGACTTTTCCACTTCTGCATTCATTTTGCCATGTTCAAAATCACTTCGTGGAGTCCAGCTTCCAAAGGCATCACTGACTTGGGTTATTCGGCACCCCAGAAGATTCGTCCACAATAATTCACCCCTTCTCACAAATCATTGATCCCCAAGTACTAGTTTCAATCAGTATTGGAAGAGTCCCAGAGAAATAGTTCACTGCATAAATCAGTCATTTTCTCTTTATTTATTTATTTATTTCATTTTAACCCATTTGACTTGCAATCTTGCTGTTCATAATTTGTCAGTGCTTTTCACTGAAAAGTACAAATGCCTTTTTTCACTTAATAGCCAATGATAGTGACAACAGTGTAAAACCATTTCCGCAAAAATATATATATTTTTTAAAGTCAGAAGAAAAAGATGAGTTCCGATCTTGTGTTAAAAGTATTCCCCAAAAAGTTAACGAATGAAATCAATGCAAGGATGAGAAGAATGTGCCTTTATACCAACATCTAATGTCCCATGTGTGATAGCAATTTCAATTTGCTTCTGATTTTTTCAAAGTCTCCATTTGTGGTGGCAATTGGGGCCATACAGCAACATGCCTTGGTGAGAGTGAATAAAGCTAAAAAGAGGAGGACGAGACACTGCAGGCAGAGATTGAACACCTTTGATTTCTCCACACAAGCAGAGTGATTGAGCTTTGAATCTTCTCCAGCTTTCCAATGAAATTTACGATTTCTTGCAGTAGGTGCCAGTTTTTTTTGATTGGGAATGAACAAGGTGCCCATGCATCAGCCATGACAATGGTGCTCAGTAGAAAATAATTTCACTTTAAGGATATTGTTCCTTCCACCTTTCAAAAGCTCCACTTGCTTGAGAATCCCACTGCCCACTCATTCCCAACTGCACAACGTTGATTTTGAAAGGTGAGGGGTGTTGCATGTGTGAATGGGTGTGTTGCATGTTATGTGGGTATGTAATGATCTCTTACATAAAACAGCTCAAGGAATAAATCAGTTTCTGATCAATCAACTATCAAAATCTGCATGTTGTTGCTGTAGATTGCCAAGAGTAGCACTTCAATATCACTAGGGCATAGAGCTTGGAAGCTGCCAATTGGAATTTTTAGTGAATATTTTTCAATAAATGTTTTTTGTAGCCAATGGAACAGATTTCCAGTATATATATATATATATATATATATATTTCCTTCTAGTTATTTTTTTGCTTTCTGTTCCAGACTAATGGAGATTGTCTAAAGATTCATTCACAAATAACTTTTCAAATGATAATATAAAAAACTTAAACTTCATACCCCTGGTTTTAAGATTCTACAACAGTTTAACTTCCACATTGTGTTATTGTGCAATAAAATGTTAAGGTTTTCCCAAACCAAAATTTTTTCCTGCAGAAAAACAATTATCCTTATTTATTTATTTATTTATTTATTCTGGTTGAGGAGATAGATCATCTTGTATGGATGCGTCTGCATCCTCTCAAACCAGAATCATCAATTGTTGAATGACAACAGCACACTCCCTCATGTATGTCAGGAATTGTTATAATAAAAACAAAACAAATTGATTGTGGTGGAAGGGTTTGTGCCTTGTTTCTTTCCGGCCCAGCTTTCAACAAAGTAGGTTCTACCTTTGAAGCAGCTCAACCGCATAACAACGAACGGAATCGATCATTCACATTTTTTAATTTTTTTTTATTAAAAAAACACACACACATGTTTCGGTTGATTGAAGATCGCGTTCATCCGCATCCATGCACTGATATTGATCCATATCATTTTTCTGGTAAC